AATATGTAGCGTCATTTTACATGCCAAAAATTTGAAACGCAAAACAGCCAATCTACATACGCAAGTCGGATAGGTATTTGCGAAGCCCTCTACTGAATTGGAAATTGAGTCGCTCTCAAGTTGCTGTTGTTCAGCAAATATGCCGATTCCGAGAAAGACTTCTGGGTACATTATATTCTTTTATTATATACACTTATATACAGAAAATACCAAGAAAAGTTACGTAGTAAATAGAAAGTTCGTGTCAAAACGATATACCGAAAACATTGAATTTTCTAGAACTAAATACAGTCGAAACTCTATATAGCGAAATTGAAGGGACTGCTTTTTTTTCGTAATAAAGAGTTTTCCTTATAAAGAATTATCTACTTAGGAACATTTTATATAAATATTTAAGAACTACATTTAATGTTTCAAATAATCGGTGATTTTCTTTTGAATTTTTTTAGTATGTCAATAGGCATCTCGTTCTTTGGCTTGTATTTTCACCATTTCTTCAAGAGGGGCATCTTCCCCATGATACATAAAAAAGTTCTCTAGCAGCTTAATAAAATATAGGGCTTGTTGAATGGGTGGTGGTTGTCCCAGATCAACTTCTTCATCTTCTTCATCCTCTTGGTGCTCTTCCTCACCCTTTCTTGCTTGTTGTAATATGGCTTCCTCTGTCAAGTCTGCTGTTGCAGGTAAATCCTGATCTATCACCATAAAATATCCTGCAACTCCTCACTTGTAAACGTAATTGTTGTTTGAAATTGCTTTATCCACTGGCTTAGTGATTATCTTCCAAGTCCTGTTGGCATTCTGTCTCGGTAATAAGTCCTGCATGACGATAGGAGTATTGAATTGTTTCTGCTGTCATCTGTTTCCGAGCTTTACTAATAAAGTTGACTGCATATAGCATATTAATGAAAAATTTGTTTTCGGACTCGATCATTTCCATTAAAATGTTTTTCTTGTATCGACTCTTAAGACTTTTTATTACGTCGGGCAGTTATCTAAGAGAAGTAATATTTTCCTCCCCATTAATTTTGCATCCCATTTCCATATCTCCTCTTCAAAAATTTGCGATGTCATCCATGCAGACTTGTTTGCCTTGTAAGTGACCGGCAAATGCTTAATGTTTTTAAAACCTCTTGGGTTAGTTGATTTTCCAATTACGACTAACTTTCTTTTCTCTCTACGACTCATATTGGCAACTACTAACACTGTTATACTGTTATATGAGTTTTATCTGGCGTCATTTTGTAAAAAATATCAGTTTCGTCAGCATTAAAAATATCGTCAGCAGGGTACTTTCCTGCTAGTTTCGGCCACGTCTTCTCCGCTCAATCTTTAGTGACGTTTCTGTCGACATTATGGGCTTCGGCACTTATCTGTCCATAATTTATACCATGTGTCTATTTGAACTTCCCCAACCGTCCTTCCGGAGCATTGAAATCGATAATGCCAAGCTGTTCAGCAAACTTTTGTCTTTTTAGTTTTACGATAGGTTCAGAGAGTGGTACATTTCTAAGACATTGCTGTTGGAAATCTTCATTTTTTGGTTTTCTTAGTTATTTACTAGAACTGCCTGCCGCTTCCGTCTGAATGATTTTTTCTTTGCACCTCCAAATCGTGGATACGTATCGACTTCCCACATCACTTTTCTTTTCTCCCCGTTCTATCTCCCGAATTACAATTTTATCATCTAGAGATCAAAATTTTCGCTTACTCGCCATGCTCACTCGCCGTATTCACTCAAATTAGAACTGATTGAAACAATGGTGGGCTTTTACATTTACCGATAAATGATGTTGACGCATTTATAAGGCCTTGCATATGCAAAATATCTCATTTTATCAATATTTGTCATATATAATATATTAATAATATAATTAATTATTATGTAATTTTTTTAACAAACCTCAAATTGATAGATCTAGAAATTCAAAATAAAGTGAAAAAAATATATCAGGAAATAAATGTTCATTATAAGTCTGTGAGTTGACTCAACAGAAACTCCAAAACAACATAAAAAATTACACTTCTACATATCATTATTTATTAATTAAAATTTATATTCGTTCACTAAATTTTAGAGTGGACTTTTAATTTTCTCTATTTGATTCCAAAATAATTTGGGAAATTAGAAACTTGAATCATATAATAACTCACATAAAGCGTTCTTTTGTTTATAATTAATTGCTATTTAATGTAAAAATAATAAATCCGAAGTTAGAAATGATTTGATATCAATTATAATGAACATCTATTTTCACAACTCTATAACATAGAAGCTGTTGGTCGTTAGAATGTACGCATAGGAACTTTTTACAAAAGCTGTATACGCGTTCTTCCCAAAAACAATTTCTTCGCGTCGAAAAGTCAAGTAAAAACCGAAAAAAAAAATGTTCCTGTGTTATTTAAATAGGAAAATGAATTTTTAAATGAGCTAAGCCGCTATTGCACTTAAAGCCTTTTACCCAGCGGCATAATTTTTTATTTTCTATAAAGTATCAGATTTTCAGATAGCACAGAGAAAAAAAAATATCGCCTAAAAATGAAGCACTCTAAAATATATTTTATTCTATGCAGTTTAATAAAGTAGTTGAAAATTTATTTATATATATTTAATTATTATTATTAGTTTTATCATCTATACAGAGTCCAGAGAGAGTCGCGAATTTGATACACAAAAATGAGAAAACCGAAAGTGTCCCTTTTTCTCTTTGTTAATGTTCGGTGCATTGTATATTTTTAGATCTCGGAGAAATTATGTGTCTAGGAGTCTATGTCGAAGTTTCGTCTGTTTAAAGAACAAGAAAACGTATCTAGCAGCCATCCCTCTTCTTCCTATAACAATCTGTAGATTACGTGTCCATCGATACAAAAAGTTCGTGGCGTCGTCACCAGTAATTCAAGCATAACAGCCCGAATTTATAATGTAGGCGAAATAGGTTCGTGCGATGCTTTATTACGAAATAATGGCGATAGATAGAGCCGCGGTCCTCCATGAATATGCATACCGCGTGATTGTAGCCGAGAAACAATTTGCTTTGGTGTCGGAGGGTAGGCAATACACTTTTCAATGATACGAACCTAATTAATTCAATTGGTAAATGATTTCCATCCCGCTGGTGTTCGCATTGATCGGTTTTCCTCATTTCGTTTCAATTCGTGACGTATTGCCGCGTCCCTCAGATGGAGTCTCGATAACCTAACCGAATTCTAATATTCTCGCAGCTACGAGGCAATAACGCTGCAGAATTTTGATTTTTATATTCTGAGGTTCGGTAGACACGATGCAATTTTTTTAAATTTTTTGGTGGGTGTTTTTTTAATTGTTGTTTTTAACTTTCAGTAATTAATAAACGTAACTAAAACAAATTTTCATGGGCATTTTTTATAATAACAATAACAATATTTGGGAGACAACCATTTCATCGCCTAATTAGTTTTTCTTGAAATTTTTCTTTCTTCAACGGAGTTGAAGTTAATTTCCTTATCGCAAGTTTGTTTTTTAATAGTATATTGTGCAACAAGTGCGGTAAACGCTATTTGACTCACGAGTTTATTTGACACGAGCGGAGCGAGTGTTTAATAAACGAGTGAGTTAAAAAGTTTACCGAACGTGTTGCATACTATACTTTTTCTACGACCGTTAGTTTTCGGGTACATTTTCGCAAAATACGAATACATTCACTGACATGACTGTCAGAATTGACAAACTTCAAAATTCAAAGCGTGGGAAATATTTCCCAAAACATCCGATTGCTCCCAAACCCGTGCGGTAAAATGCCGGAAATGTCCGAAGTGGCTCGGATTCGTGGAAAACGAAACTGACGTAGTAAACCCACGCTTCCCGCACGCTAGATCGGTGTGTAATTATTATTTTACAGATGGGAGTAGAAAAACATTTTTTTCTACTCCCGTCTGTAAAATCCCTAATTACCCATCTAGCGTGCAGGAAGCGTCACTTTGCCACGTCAGTTTCGTTTTCCATGAATACAAGGCACTTCGGACATTTCCGGGATTTTACCGCACCGATTTGGGAGCAATCGGATGTTTTCGGAGATATTTCCCACGCTTTGAGTTTTGACGTTTGTCAATTCTGACAGTCATGTCAGTGAATGTATTCGTCTTGTTTTGCGAAAATGTACCCAAAAACTAACGGTGGAAGAAAAAGCATAGTATGCAAAACGTTCGGTAAACTTTTTAACTCACTCGTTTATTAAAAACTCGCTCCACTGCGCTCCGCTCGGGTCAAATAAACCCGTGAGTCAAATGCCGTTTAGCGCACTTGTTGCATAATATACTATTTTCACTTTTTTTCTTTCATAGTTTTGAGAAAAGCAACTAAATGGTATATTATGCAATAAGAGTGGTAAACGATATTTGAGTGACGAGTTTATTTGGCACGAGCAGAGCGCCAAAAACCACCAGGATTTCACTTGTCAGGTAAAACCTGATCAATAGTGACTAGAATACGAACCCAACATGAAAGATGCGCCTACTATCTGCATAGATAGAGACACCCTTTTTCGAATTTAGTGAGACCCAAAACTGCAGAACATATTATGAAAATGCTTATTGTGGAAAACCCGATAAATAAATCGATGTTAAACCTACGAGGTATGTGAAAATATAATTCTAGATTATTAAATTTAATTATTTTTTAGTAAAAATAGCTTTTTTTTCAACTTGCTAGTAAACACTATGGCAATATTTTCGTTAAAAAACTGCGTCAATTTTGCCAAGAATATTTTTTTCAAATTTAGTATTTTCCAGCTTTTTCTCTCTTTACCCATTTTCGTTCTTTAATCTATATGGAAAAGCAAAAATCCTCTGGCCATTGTCGTGTCACACTGTTGGTCCTAGTCAAATCTAGAGGTAAACAAACAGGATATCCATCTATGTTTTCGGTCTGATTTTGCTTTATTCTTCTTCTAAAGCATAGGAATGTTGTCACCATATCGATACTGGAGAATTAATAATAAAACTACGTCATTATAATGCAATTTCTTATGCTCAAATATTTATTTCTATCATATCTCTCTGAAAATAATAGTGGCAAAATCCTACTGATGTAAATTAGTAAATTAAAGAATTCCTTTCTCGTAATTTTTAGTTTCTGATGTCGTCGGGAAAACTTCACTTGTCGTCCCTGCTGGAGTCGTATCTGTACTAGACCGACCAGGCGTGCTCTGACCAGGTATTTCTACTGAGGTCGTCGTTGGTTCTTCAGTCGGTTCTTCCGTAGCTGCGCCAGTTGTAGCTGGCTCGCGAGTTGTTGGGCTCGGTACAGCTGTTGTTGTGATGCCCGAGAACTTATCATTTGCGCAGTCGACTACATCGGCGACAATAGAGGTCGCTTCGAGCGTTAGTTGATCCGCAACCCCGACTGTACAGACTGCTAGCCCCGCCTTGAACGTCGCCACGTATACTGTAGCCTCCGCAACTTCTTTGCCTATGATGGCAGGAATTTCAATTCCTGCCGCCCCAACTTTGATGCCTACCGACCCGGCGCATGCTATTTGGGTTAGTATCGATTGCTGCCTACAGTCGCTAAGCTCGGAGGTCAAGTTCGCCACGCGCTCGATGCTAGAGCTGACCGTCGATATAGTTTCGTTAATAATGCCGAGACCCTCTTCAAGTTTCTCTCCGACGCACGTGCTTACGTCTTGTAATAACTGGCGGGGCAGGGCGCTGATATCGTCTATACTATCGACCACGCACTCCGAAATATCCACGCCTGATGGAGAATAAGACTTAACTCTGTCTGTGCAATGTTACAAGTGATTGTAGGAGGTGGAAAAAAAACAGAAACACTAAACCGAAATAGTACGAGAGAATTGAGAATGGAAATTATTCTACAAAGAGAAATCTAAGTGCATAAAATTTAAATTCATACTAGCCATTTCGTTTGGCCATGCATATATACGATTAAAACCTTTTTATCAAATAACGATATAACTATTATATATATAACTATTTAACTATCGCCAATGGTTATACCAAGAAGCTTTCCATTTTCTACCCACTCACAGATTCGATGGAATGAGTCAAGTTTGATGTTTTGTTCCTTTGCCAGGGGAAGTCTATAGACTGTAAATCATCATCGAGGTTTAGGACCTCAGTTATTTTTTTAATTTGACTTATGTCAATTAAAAAATTATTCTTGAGACAAGATTCTATTCACCTTTTTCTAAGTTCTCCTGTAAAAGTCAAAACCAAACTCAAATTAAGTACGATAAAGAAAATAGCTATTGAAAAAATAATGACCCAGTTCGAAAGCTTGATTCGAAAGTTCGTTGATTTGATCGATGAAGGGCTTTGTGGCCGCTACAAGCTGCTCCTCGATACCCTGTTCGATATCTGCAGCTATGGAGACGATCTGGTCGTACAATTCCTGCAGGCCGTCGATCGCGTTCCGAATTTGTTCCTCCACGTCGTCTGCCAATTGTTTCAGGAGTGTTTCTACGTCGCTGAAAATGTCACGTGGTTCAGGCCGGCGAACTTCGGCCTGCAAATAATTAGCATATCGATGTGGTATCGATAAATATATGGTATAATTACTTGGACGAACATGACTCCAACGCACAAAGCAAAAAACAGCCTGGTCAACATCATTTCGGTTGCTGGTTCAATTCACACTGGTCGTCCGTTATCTCAACATCGGAATTATATTATTTTCAGTGTTGATGGAGTAATCCAGTAGTCTACGGTATAAATCTGACTTGATTCTAATGCGGTCAGCGTTTTAGTTGGCACTATTTAATACCACTCCAACCTGACTAAGCGATCTCAGATAATACGTACATGAGGCGGTAAATAAAATCAGGGGCTTAATATACGTGAAGTACATACTTCAATTTGGATTTGTTGGTTAGTGGTTCCATCAAAGAAGATAACAGAGCATAGGTGTGCGTTAGAAAATTAGTAAATTTAACGAGAACTTATGGCGAAAATGTTGCTTGTGAAAGTTTTCTCCTTAAAACGTTCAGTTTTTTTACGGAGATTAAACAAATCTGCTAAAACTCAGATTTTAGATCATAACTTCGTCTGGAGCCAAGGCTGCCTATTTTGAATAGAACGGAAAAATAACCTTTTAAACTTCCCATACAGCAATGGCCGCAATCGACTAGATGTGACGTCAGGGTGCGTTTAAAGTCCAACTCCTGATAATTATAATCCTCCAGCTATACGTGGCATTGTGTCGACCGTATTAACAATTAACCGTTGTAATTATAGGTCAATGATGCCCATTAATTATGCAATTTAATCGGCTGAGCGGACCGTATTAGTTGTTTATGAATATTTGAACGTGGGGCGTCCGATAACTTCGAACTGTCCATAGCCAGATACTCGGACAAATAAGGCGCTTAAGTTTAAATAAACCCAAGTATCTTTTCAATTTACAGTAATTTTTTGATATATTCTCGACTTTCTTAAATGCAAATATCTTTTTTCTACTCTCTTCTGTATTATTTTCACACTTTGGAAGGGCTACGATGCTCGTCACTAGCCATAATGAGCTTGTCGGGCATTTCTGTAACGGTTCTTAGCTAGGTAATTTACGGAAGGGAGGAGAAATATATTTCACGAAAATTTTGTGTCTTACAAATCGTACCATAAAACAAAGAGCTATCGTATTTTTTGGCTAATACTCCACCTATATCGAAACCCTGAACTGTACCTTCTTATAGACGTCCGCAGTGCTGCCCAAGAGCAATTTGTCACTGTCCTAATTAACCCTTATCCCTCTCTACTCGTATTCGGTAATGGTTAATCGCTTAAAATATGACTCGATCTCTAAAAATTTCAATATAACAATTGTATATAATAAACTTCCACGAATTGACAAATTTCTTTTCTCTTTTACTTCTAACTAATAATAATCGGCATTATTTTAATTGTTTAATTTTATTGGATGTTTAAAACAATGATTATTCAAAAAACTATCAAAGTGATGGAGGGCTAAAAAGGAGCAGACAAATTGCAACGCTAACAAAATGGGTCAAAAATTCGTTTTTATTGCACAAAATGTTTTAACCAACAGAAATTATTTACATAATTTCGAACCTTATATAAAATAAAGCATTTTTTTTATTATGTTATTAATTAATATTATTAACGTTAGGTGTTATTACGAAAAACTAAACAAAACTATAACACAGAGTCAATCAGGCTTCAAGTCCATTAAAAATGAAATGTTTCTTTTATATGTAATAAGTAATTTAGCTGCAGAAGTGTCGGCAAGATCTCGATTGGCATTACATCGCGTCGATTTAAATATTTTATATTATTTATACTATATGGCTGTATGAAATTTAATGGATGATATCCCAGAATTTTTTTAACATTCTTTCAAAAGATTATATACTTCTAAATAGATTTTGTATTTGTCTAACTTAATACAGTTTATACAGGTCAAAAATTTGCATTTCTGCTAAATATACCAAAAAACCATGTTTATATTCTATATTTGCTAAAGTAGATTTGCATTTATTGACATATTTTTACCAAATCCGTTAACTGTAAGCCGTTTTCTAAATCAATGTCACAAATACATTGTCTTACGTTTTGTTTACCCTCATAATATTCTCAGTAGCTCTTCAAAAAAAAAAATATTAGTTTCCATGAACTATTAATTGAATTAATATTTTTTTGGATAATTTCATGCGCGTTTGGTGGATAATGCAAATGGCGATTTTATAAAATAACTCCCCGTATACCATTTTTAAAATGGATATATACATTGACTAAAGAAATTTCTTCACATAAAATTTACTTTCAAAGCAGGTTTCAATGGCAGAAAGTTTAGAAACTCGATTTAATAACCACAAATTTAATAAAAAAATATTTTTACCGAAACAACACGAGATGAGAATTAAAATTTTATTTCCGCAATACACTAAACTAAACAGCTTCTCATTTGATATGCGCCGCATTGTGCATCTTGTTATTGGCACAAGTGGTTACGTCGTTTACTATGTCTGCCCCTTGCTGTGTCATACTACTAATGGTGCCCGTGGTACAGGACCCCAGGGTGGTAGCGAACGTTTGTACGGTCGATACTGCTGACGCGACTATATTGGCAACACGAAGAGGCAGTTCGGCCGTAGCTACGACGACTTTCGCTGAGACGCCAGCTACACAGACGGGAATCTCCAAGATAAACACGTCTACACAGTTTGCCAAGTCAACCACCAGATCTTCTACCTGGCCGAGAGTCGCGTTGACCTCGTTGACACTGTCGTTAAGGAAACGGAGAGCAGTGTCGACCTCGATGTTGATACAAGCCCCTATAGTACTAGACACACGATTCTCTAATGCATTGATCTGGTTTACGGCTTCATCTACGCAGTCTGAGATGTCGACACCTGCAGCGCATGTTTTACTATCAGCAAAAGTTCCAACGTATGTTGAAGATATGTAGACTCACCCAAACCTGTCGCCTCGGCAACGAGTTTGTCAATCTGTTCGATAAATCCGCCACCTATCTTGGTGACTTGACTGAACGCGTCGTTAGATATTTGTTGGGCGACGTTCAAAATGTCTCTGATTAAATTTTCGAATGTCAGCAGTGCCTCGTTGACCGCGTTCCTTACCAAATCCGTCAAAGTTTCCAATGCTACCTTGACGGGGTCGAATATGCCATCCGTAGCGTTATCAGGGTAATACGATACTTGTGGTTTGGCCTAGACGATAAGCCAATGATATTTCGCCACTGTTATAGCGTATTTTCTATTTTATTTGGATTCTATACTCACATGAACTATTATCGCGCACACACATAGCGACAGGAACACTTTTGCTGAGATCATTTTTACGAGCGATCTAGACTGATCGAGGTCAATGTTAGTAGGTGCTTTTATAGAGATGTATTTTTTCTGTTTGAAGTGCCCGAACACATTCGATCGTGATAAAGATTTAGTATAGTAGGTGATGGATACTGGGAATGCAAGTTGCATTATTTTTATCATTTACTTATTCGGCACGCGCCTCTGCGAAAGTAACACTATAACATACTCAACTATGCACTGATGAGACGTGCGTAAGATGTCACTCTAGGTTAAATACTTACTTACAAAATGTTAAAAACCAATCAGTTGTCTGTAAGTAGCTTATATCTTTTAGAGACCTCGACACCTCTTTTGTATATAAAGCTCCTAATTTGACAAATTTATATGATTTTGCACAGGTCCATCACGCTCAGGCGAAGCATTTAAATTTAAATTCGTGACATTAGAATATTGACTCTTTCGAGTCTTTTTATATTTAACTCTATTATGAGTCACTTTAAATTATCCTAGTTTTCATGCCTATAAAAGTTTATAATCATTAGCCTACTTTAATGAAAGGGTTGCACTGTGCAAATAAATATCTGATAAAAGATAGTTTGTATGCGATAAGTTTGAAGAGTTGTTTGACGGTGATAATTGTTTATTATAATTACTGTGTAACATATATGTGTTTAATTTGTTTTGTTTTAATTTAATTGGACCAAGTTAGCTGAAAATCAAAATAAACACTTAGAAATTTAACTAGTCTTCCCTGACGAATGCACTTATTGCCCAGTCCGACTAAAAGGCTTTGTTTTAAGTATTTACAAGAAAACATCAATGTCTGACTCTATTTTATAGGTATTCACAATTAAGTTTATACTCACAACATGCTTGCATGACAATATGGAGTTTAAATTGCTATAAAATACATGAAAATTGTTGCTATGGAAAACAGAAACGGCATGGTAAGGTAACTGCCAGCAAAAGTGGTGTAGTCTCTTTAAATAATGCAATGAACAAAAGAGGACCACAAGCTCCCTTGAGGAATTGCAATCCTTCTCTTTACAAAAAGGCTTCAAGATATCAGCAAATAACATATTTAGACTGTCACGGCAATGATGGTTAAACTTATTTGTAAATTAGAAACAACATCGACAATGTAGAAATAGAAAACTAAGGAGGGATAAAAACGCATAAGAGGTTTACACCTCTCGGCGAATGTATTTTGTTATAAGTTTTTTCATCAGTTTTTTGATGTGATCTTTATTTTATTTTTTATTATTAGACATTTACAATTTCGTTGTCGGTAACTTTTGACGCTTTCCATTTACTAATGATTCCGCGCAATCCCTTCTCCGATCAAACTGCGTCGAATACGGCGTCTGAAACCGTCGCAATCGTTACTGCAGCCATACTAAGCAACTAATCGTCATTCGAAGCAGCAATTTTGGCCTGAAATCTGATTAATGCCGCGGGCTGTGTGTTCGGTGGTGATTGTGGCATCGTCGCGGAACAACATGCAAGTGACGGCTTGATGAAACAAGGATTGTTCTGATTGGATAACGGAGGATGTTAGGAAGGAGAGTTGGAGAACTGCGCTTTCAAGCAGCACGCATTATGATAGCGGCAAAAAAATACATGCATATGGAACTGGATGTAAGACAGGTTGTTGGTATACCGATAGAAAATGCTGTGAGACTGACATGTGCTCTTAATCTCGTTTTAAAGAACTTAATGTAAGAAAAAATTAATACAAATTTTTATTGCTCATAAAGGAAAATGTATTTCGTATTCTACGTAACTCGGAGATGACCACACTTCAAATTATATTTAAACAGTTTGGGAAAGTCGTAAGCAGTTAATTTTGTTTTGTTGTTCGGTGAATAAAAGTGGTACTTACATTTGCATCGTTTACAATTTGTATAGGTTTTTTCATTCAAAATATTTAGCATAAGATATGTTTAGTCAGATGCATAAAAGTGAAGAATTTGTTTATAATTTTATTAGTGTAAGTGTAAGGTCTAATTTCGTTAAATTCAATTAATACGAGGTGTGTTCAAATAGTAAAGTGACTTTTAAGTCTTACCAAAAAGAATTTATTTATTTATCAAAATTGATGTACTTCAAAGTAATCCTCCCAGATATAATACTCGAACATTGGAAAAGACGTTGGTCTTTTCTAATTCTTAAAGCACTTTCTGGTATAGACTTGAGTTCTTCCAGCGATTTATTCTTTATCTCTTCAGTCGTTTCAAACCTACTTGCTTTCATGGGTTTCTTAAGTTTTCGAAACAGGAAAAAGTCGCAGGGCGCCATATCCGGTGAATATGGTGGCTAATTATGGTTTTGTTTTTGGCGTAAAAGTTGGACACAAGCAACGAAGAGTGAGTTTTATCGTGATGCAAAGTCCCAAATTCCGGACTTTTTCTTTGTTTTGCTTCTTGCAAACGGCGCAAAACTTCAAGGTAAGACCATGACCGTACGACCTTGTGGCAAAAACACAGTAAGCAAAACCTTGACATTTGATCGAACTTGACGTGTTTTTTTGCGTTCTTGGCGATTCTGGGTTCTTGCATTGGCACGATTGGGCTTTGGTTTCGAAGTCATAACCATATACACACGATTCGACATCTGTTATGACGTTTTTGAGCATATCACGATCATCGTTGACGTCGTTTAACAGCTATTGTACGAAGTTCTTTCGACGGTTCTTTTGTTCAAAGTTAAGTAGTTTCAGAACAAATGTTGCTGCTACACGTTTCATGCCTAAAACTTGGGCAAAAAATACACAGTAAGAGCCAACAGAGGTGCCGATGTCTTGAGCCACTTCTCTAATAGTGATCTGACGATTTTTCAACACCATTTGTTTCACTTCTTCATCAGTTATTGACGTGCTGGGTCGTCCAGAGCGAGGTTCGTCGTCGCCGTTGTCAAAGTTCCAAGTATTTTGCAGAGCTGTATGTACCAACATAACGAAAAAATAAGTATCGAAGATCGAATGTACGTAGCCCGTCGAATTACAATAGTCACCTTATTTTTTCAACCCAGCTCGTATGTCTGTTGGGTTGACTGGAGTAATACATTATATAAGTGAGCAAAGTAGATATGTAAAGTCCACACCTCCCATTGGTCACACAAGCGAAGTGACAAGTGGGAAAAATACATTCCTCACGTCATTTTTCTCCAGAATTTTTTTAACTTTACATACCTGTATCTGGATCGTATATTGAAGGGCAAACATATAATAGTTAAAACGTTTGATAAACCCCACTTTGTTACAAGCGGAAGGCAGCGGAGCGATTGCTTTATAAACGAGTGCTTGAAGAACGTGTCTTAAGATTGCAGCGATTGTTCTTCTCATGATTTTATTTTGATGCATTTAACTGCCGCCTGCAAACTATTAAAAATAAGTGAACGTTGTCTTTTACAAAATAATGTAGCTGTATGGTTGCTGTACATTTTTCCAAGGAAAATCACATTAAAAAAATAAAATGACATTTGTGAACCCTAGCGATCATTTTAGAAATCTAAATATTTTCGTTATCACTCTATTTATACATTTTTATGACTTTATTAAATGATTGTGATTCTTTTAGTGAAAAATTGTTCAATGAATGTAATCACCGAATTTATTTTATTTATTTACTTAACGTATTTAATGTAACGAGCAAGTAGAAAATGAACAAGATGGAACTACTATCAAAACTATAACAGTAAAACAAATCACAGTAGTCATCTTACTGTAGAGGAATTTTTGTTTTTGATTCAAAAGAGCGAAAATTGCCGATAACAAGATCAAGTTTTAAATTATTATAATTAGCACGTTGGAAAGGAATTCGAAACATTGAGTTATTACGATCTCTATGAACGATATTTAGCTCTACAGTGTTTAAAAGATCTGGGCGATAATACAATCCGAATTTTGTATAGAATTAATATAACAGCGCGAAATGTTCTTGAAGAATCAATATAAAATCCGGCGCTAATGAAATTGTAAACAATGTATTTGAGCCCCACATTTACGATAGTTTTGAAAAAAGCTGGTTAAAATCGCCTTTCTGTGGATAAAAAGTGGTGTCGAATTTCCTCAGAAAAATCGATACCCAAATTTCTCGCGTTTATCGCAAATTCATGGTTTAATTCGATTTGCCCTTACGTACCGTGCGGTGCGAAATGGGCTGGAATATGCGTGAACTCCATGCCCTTACTTATTTTATAATATAGCAAAATTGAATAGCACAAGAACGACGAGGCGGCATGGAAATTGGAGAAAACGGCTATTTCTCGTGTAGTTTTTCTTTACGTTATTACATTTATTAGGGATTTTACCTATATGGATGGGGTCAATGCCAACATTATTAGATATTTGCGAAAGACATTAATTGGATTTTAGTTTTGTGAAATTTTTTAGAACAAGAAAAGTAAAAGTTAATTCAAATTCTTCAAACACGTTCACTTAGAGCTACTGTTCAATCCAGAGAGTATAACTGCAGAAAGATGTGACAATAACATCTTTTCTCTCTATAAATCCTCGTATTATCTTTGCCGCATTTGAAATATCACCATTGGTGAATAGTATCTTTCGTGTGCTCCGTACAGTGTATGCTAGTACTAATAAGTTTTACTGTTACTGTTGCTGTTATTGTAAAGTCAGCCTAAGTAACCGGGAAAAACCAAACAACCGGCATTCTCGGAAGATCAATTGCGCTTTATATCGCTTCTTACAAAGTATTTTGTATGCAGATCGAGTATGTTGAGAATCCCGATCGAGTGGTAAACAATCTTATCTGCCATTGTTAATGGAGCGATACGATTCCGAAAATAATCTCATATTTGGCACTTTGCAGAAACGAACGAATGCGCGAATTGTGACGTCTGCAATATTCAAGCGGCGTAGTATAACCCGTTGAGATATCGCGATCACATCTCTAGTAGTATTTTTTATAATTAAGCTTCCAATAATGAGTCCAAGGTTTCTCGGTTTTATTTTTTTTTATCACCACATGAGATTTATTGTTGTTAAAGTAAAGCACGTTCTAATGCAATATCCAATATACGCTATACAGGGTCTTTTTTAATAAAT